GCCAGGCAGCCTGCAAAGCTTGACATTTGGCCACGACTTCGACCAAAGTTTGCAGGGAATCACTTTGCCAGGCAGCCTGTTGCACGTGACTTTCGGCGGTTGCTTTTGTCAGAGCTTGGAGGGAGTCACTTTGCCAAGCAGCTTGCAGAATCTGACCTTTGGCCATGGCTGGAACCACAGCATGCTGGGAGTGACTCTGCCAGACAGCCTACAGATCCTGACTTTTGGCGGCAACTTCAACCAACGCCTGCAGGGAGTGACATTGCCAGGCAGCCTGCAAAGCTTGACATTTGGCGAAGACTTCGACCAAAGTTTGCAGGGAATCACTTTGCCAAGCAGCCTGCAAAGGCTGACATTTGGCGACAACTTTGACCAAGACTTGCTGGGAGTGACTTTGCCAGAAAGCCTGCAAAGCCTGACTTTCGGGGAATGCTTTGGTCAGTGCTTGCAGGGAGTGGCTTTGCCAAGCAGTCTTCAGAGCATAAGCTTTGGCCACAGTTGGAACCACAGCTTGCTTGGAGTGACTTGGCCGAGCAGCCTGCAGAGCCTGACTTTTGGCGAGTGTTTCGATCAGAGCTTGATTGGAGTGACTTTGCCCGACAGCCTTCAGAGCCTGACTTTCGGTGGCGGTGGCCCCACCAGTGCCTCAACCCGCGTCAGGTTGGCACTTTCACCCGCCCATCGGTGACGACTTTGACCAAAGCTTGCAGGGAGTAAGTTTGCCCATCAGCTTGCAAAGTCTGTCATTCGGCGAGGACTTCGACCAACCCTTGCAGGGAGTGTTTCTGCCAGGCAGTTTGGGTAGATTGCAGGCTGGACGCATCACCTTGCATTGTGATTGATCTGGCGAGTCTTTGTTTGCCTATCAGCTTCCAGGTTGTGCTACCCGAAGTGCATGCCAGCTCAAATGTTGTTCCTTCTCTGCAAATGGTTCTGCTTTTGAATAGGTGTGTCAATGCGAAGCCAAAATGAAGCACGGGAGTCAGCTTCAGCGCGGAGAGCAAAGCACGCGGACCCAATAGCCTTTTGTGTATGTGTTGTTTCGTTGTTTGTTGGTTGGCTGTTTTGGTTTGGTTTGGTGTGATTTGGTTTGGTCTGGTTGGTTTGCTCGATTGTTTGTTTTGTATTGTTTGTGGTTGTTTGCTTGATTGCTTGCTTGATTGCTTGATTGCTTGGCTGCTTGCCTTCTAGCTGGCTGGCTTGCTTATGTGTTTGCTTTGTTGGTCCAACCTTCGCCGTCTTTGGCTACCGTCGCACCAAAGGAGGAGGAGCATTCCATCACCAAGCTGCACCGCATCCTGGCCCTTTGCGCTCGCCTGGGTGTGCACACCACAGCCAAGCGCGTGGGGGGCCAACAGGCGGGTTGTGGCTTGGCTTCCCTTTGTTTGCTCCAAGCGGACGTAGACTCAGGGTTGGCTTATCGCTATTGGGAGTCCAGTTTGTTGCCTGTGGTCAGGGTTGCTTGTTCTTGGTGTGAGTTGTTGTGGTATTCATCGTGCATGCGAGTTGTTTGTGTATGACGCGTGTAAGTGATCATGTTTGCTTCGCACAGCTTGAGGTATCAGCTTTGCCGGAATACGAGTCTATAATAAGAGTCTGGCCAGGCATCCCATCCTGAGGCTGAACAGCTCCAATATGCGCTATGAATGTTGCGTTGGAACACCCTTGCGCAGCGTTTGCTGGGTCGAAAACAATATATATATATAAATATGTATGCAAATATGTATACATATGTATATAGATATGGGGAGAGGCAACAAAAAGGCAGGTCCTCTGGGGGTGTAGAGCATACATATATGTATATATTTAGATATATGGGGAGAGGCAACAAAAAGGCAGGTTTCCTGGGGGTGTAGAGCATACATATATGTATATATTTAGATATATGGGGAGAGGCAACAAAAAGGCAGGTCCCCTGGGGGTGTAGAGCATACATATATGTATATATATATAGATATATGGGGAGAGGCAACAAAAAGGCAGGTCCCCTGGGGGTGTAGAGCACATATATGTATATATTTAGATATATGGGGAGAGGCAACAAAAAGGCAGGTTTCCTGGGGGTGTAGAGCATACATATATGTATATATTTAGATATATGGGGAGAGGCAACAAAAAGGCAGGTTTCCTGGGGGTGTAGAGCATACATATATGTATATATTTAGATATATGGGGAGAGGCAACAAAAAGGCAGGTCCCCTGGGTGTAGAGCATACATATGTATATATATATATATATATTTAGATATATGGGGAGAGGCAACAAAAAGGCAGGTTTCCTGGGGGTGTAGAGCATACATATATGTATATATATATATAGATATATGGGGAGAGGCAACAAAAAGGCAGGTCCCCTGGGGGTGTAGAGCATACATATATGTATATATTTAGATATATGGGGAGAGGCAACAAAAAGGCAGGTTTCCTGGGGGTGTAGAGCATACATATATGTATATATTTAGATATATGGGGAGAGGCAACAAAAAGGCAGGTTTCCTGGGGGTGTAGAGCATACATAAATGTAAAAATTTAGAAATATGGGGAGAGGCAACAAAAAGGCAGGTCCCCTGGGTGTAGAGCATACATATGTATATATATATATATTTATATTTAGATTTATGGGGAGAGGCAACAAAAAGGCAGGTTTGTGTATTGGGGGTTTCCTAATATATGTATATATTATAGAGCATACATATGGATATATGGGGAGAGGCAACAAAAAGGCAGGTTTCCTGGGGGTGTAGAGCATACATATATGTATATATTTAGATATATGGGGAGAGGCAACAAAAAGGCAGGTTTCCTGGGGGTGTAGAGCATACATATGTATATATATATATATATTTTAGATATATGGGGAGAGGCAACAAAAAGGCAGGTTTCCTGGGGGTGTAGAGCATACATATATGTATATATTTAGATATATGGGGAGAGGCAACAAAAAGGCAGGTTTCCTGGGGGTGTAGAGCATACATATGTATATATATATATATATATTTAGATATATGGGGAGAGGCAACAAAAAGGCAGGTTTCCTGGGGGTGTAGAGCATACATATATGTATATATTTAGATATATGGGGAGAGGCAACAAAAAGGCAGGTCCCCTGGGGGTGTAGAGCATACATATGTATATATATATATACACATATATGGTCCACCAACAAGTTCAACCTACCGGAGCCAGGGCTGCTGGGTGTGCCCCATTCTCTCCTGGCACCACCAGAGCTGGGACCCGGAGCCTGAGCTTGAAGGCGACTGAGTTCTGCTCTTTCCGGCAAAGTCGAAACGCGGGTAAGCCAAGGCGGGACGAACAGGCGCGCGCGTAAACCCTTCATCATGTTTACATTGGGCAAACCCCTTTGGGTACCAGGTTTTGCCACACTGGCCACAATTGTCCTTATCCATATCATTCTTCAACACCTTCCTGGGATTTGCAGGTTCGTTCTAAAACCCTTGGTGATTCCCCAAGAGCCAGCAAGTTTGTACTCCGCACCAAGCCTCAGCTTCTTTTGGCACGTGGCTTGATGCAGTTGAGGGGTTGGTCCCGCTTCACCTTTTTGGACGGATTGACTGCATTTTGGTTTTTTGACTGTTACCTTTTCGGGAAGCACTCTGCCTTGTATACCCAGCTTTCATAAAAGCGACCTTTTTGTGGTGTTCAATCATGTTTGGAGGTAAATATCATTGGAGCCACCTTTTGGAGGGTGATCTCGAGGCTCTTTGTTCTTGGTAGGGAATGTTGGACTAACCCCACCTGCAATTCCATGCACGACTGAAATCAGCTCAATTTTTACCAGTCTGAATTCCCGGGTGTCAGTGCGCTGGCTGACAAGGCCCCCGAAATAGGTCAGTTCGTTTGGCATCCCCGACCTTACTAGAAGAAGAGCTGGATGTTGTTTGCCACATCAATGGGGATGAACTTACGCCATGTATTCCTGCCCCCCTGCTAGAAAAAGGCGTTTTGTTCTGCCTGACTTGGCGTGACTTTCCGTGGCTCAGTTCCAGAAATTTACCAGAAGGACACCAGAAGTTCGTCTTTTTTGCTGAAGTCCTTCCCATGGCATAAAGCACCGCAGGCCTGTGACGATAAATGCAAACACGAAGCCAGGCGAGGGAAGGCTTTACAGACTGTTTCATCGAACGCAGACCATTGCACTGGCGTGAGACGTGTGCCGTGTGGCGCAGCACACCAACCTGAAAAGCGATTGCCTGCAGTGGGTCTTGGGAAGCCCTGCTTAAAACTTGCCTAGGACACGCTGTAAAGCTGGACATATAAGCCCATGCATCATGAATCCATTGGGATTATGAATCGAAATGCGTGTAGATGTTTGGTTTTCGTCATTCAGTACGTCGCCCACAATGTTCTCATGACTCGTGAATGTGTCCCCCTGCAAACCGTTGAGTAGTCGAGCAAAGGCGGTTGAGTTTTAACTGGGCATGCAGGCTGGGACGTGCCAGACGTCGCTCAATGTATGGTGGACTTTGCGCGGTGTCGATTCCCGCCACCAGCCGCGTGGCCTGCAATTGGCCGGTAGTGAACATATCATTTCATCAAATGAGGGAGTTGAATGTTCAGTTATGCATAGACACATAGCTGCTGTGCAGTGTGTCTTGCTGCTACCTGGAATACTAGCAGACGCCATGTGAGCAGCGCTAAAAACCCTTATGGAAGGATTTAATTGAGGGCCTCTCCTAACGAAGCCTCGCGAAAGCTAAAACGCAGGGTACGAAAGCCTGCGAAAGCTTGCGGCGAAATTGGTTGAAGAAGAGCCCGCCGCGAAAGCGTCGCGAAAGTGTATATTCGCAGTTTCTGTGTTGCTCGCAAAGCTCCGCGAAAGTGATCATGACAAAACGCATGCCCGCGAAAGTGAAACGTGCGGCTGCGAAAGCATCGCGAAAGCGGTTTGTTAGTGGAGGGTTTTATGTACCCTATTTCGGCATTGCTCATGTGTGATTGAACAGTTTGCAAATCAGCAGGGTATCAAGGAATTCAACTGCACCATCACGTGTGATTGCGTAGGAGTGTGCGTCAACACTGTGCGTTTGTGCATTTTTGATTTTCGTTTGCATGTGAGCTTTAGCATCCACTTCTTCGGTCTTGTTTTTCCATCACAACCATTAGCAGTCACAACGATCGCGGTTATTCAATTCATGCTGGTGAGATGTACGATATGCAACAAACTGTTCGGGATCAAGTTTTAAAGTGTGAACATGTATACCTGGAGCATTGGTAACTCAGCGGATGTAGAGCCCTTCCTTCGCAGGATCGTAATTTTTCTATATTGGTCTTGGCCGAGGAACTCGAATGCTTTCATCCAGCGCGGGCTGGATGATAGCGTGTTCCGCTCATTACTGTCGGGAGATGGCTGCTCGACTGGGCAAATATAAGTTGAAGTTTCATCGAGGATATCGGCATGTGTAGCGCGAACAATCGAAACGAGCACAGACCGAACTGCTGCGCCAGCACGTGGATATTTGGCTGCTTTGGCACTATCTCCTTGTGGTCATTCGCTCTTGATGATTCCTTTTGCTGGCTTCTGGGGCGTCGACTCGAGTGGGTCTTGATCAAAGGCCTCTTGTTTGATGGTGCACCGGCACGTACTTTCATCCCAGATGGTTGTAATAAGCATCCACCATTAGCAGTCAGACTGGAATGTTCAGCAGAGTACTCGGCTGGTTCCTCTTTGTTCGGACAGAGCTTCACATGTCAACCATTGTCTATAAGACAAGGTTCACATCTTGTAAACTGTTATGCGCCCCTTTAGTTTTCTGGCAAATCGGGCAGTAGAGCAAAACTTGTTGGTCCAGTGGTCCATGCCCTCAGATCGTGCCTCTCAGATCTAAGGTGTCAATGTTTGACGACTCCGCAGCGCGGAGGGTCGATGTTCTGAGACTCGGCGCATCAGACCGTTAATTCTGCATGAACATGTTGCTGCTGACTGCAAGTAAAGTCATCAAAGTCACATAAATAACATAACACAAATAGCATATGAGTGACTGT